CGGGTAGGTTCGCCACTTTTCTAGCGCGTCGGTCGCAGTAGCACGTATTATTATTATTTTGTTTTTTACTCTGAATATTTTTCAAACATAGGTTTCAAGAAGTTTTGAAGTTAAGATTAGTTTCAGATCAGGTTTTTTTGCGGTTCCGTATGGCAACGTTAGAAGCAGTACAGTTTTTTTATGTAGAATCCCAGAATTTTTGAAGCCTAAGCATTCAGGTCTGGTGCACCTCCTGTAGTCCTAGAAGGTTTTCAGGTTGGGTGGCTCGCTTGGTTTCTTTTCAGAGAACTGTTATCGATAACTGCTATACGGATAGGATTTCTATAATGTGGAGTATATTGTGTTAAGGGTGTATGGTTGATTGTACATGTAATATGCTAATGTGCTACACTCATTAAACTCTGTCTACTGCACGCGACAGGCTAGTCAGGCAAACGTACAGATGTGTTTGTTGTTTTCTGACGTAGTATAGAGAAGACGGAGAGGACTTAGACAGGCTATGCCTGATGTCCTATTGACTATTGCTTATATTGTCAATAAAAATTTGTTGAAATTGAAATTGAAATCTTGCTTAAAGATACAACACAGTGCCGTGCCGTGCCGTGACTCGAACACGCAACCCTTCGGTCACGAGCCCGGCGTCCTACCACTAGACTACCGTGCTTCCTTCTGGTGTATAGTTTATACTTATTTATTTATATATACAACAGCAGCAAAATACTGCGTTGTTCAAAGTATCATAAAAAGTCCAGCCGTATGGACGACCAAATAATCTGTCTTAGAGGAGCTGTCCAGACACCATCGACAGCATCGACTGGGTGGTGTTGCATTCTGTGTCTGTTTACTTCAACCGAAAATAGTATGTTGGAGACGCTGAAGTTCTGCAAACTTCACTTCCAATATTGTTAGAGTTAAATTTATAAACATCACCAGTATCTTTAAAAGGTCCATTGTTATCCGGACCTAACCTTTGTTTAGTCAACGCGGCAGATTTTACCTCAATTGTAGTCGATTTCGAGGTAGAGTCGTATTAGACATTGGATTCGTAGGGTCTTTCAGCTGACTTGGTGACGTGATGTGACATGAGAACCAACGTGAACACCATTGTATTTTTTACTTAACCAGGAGATTCATTATGGTTTGGTTTGGTTTAATTTTGTTTAACGTCCTATTAACAGGTCATTTAAGGACGTGCCTCCATGTGTGTAGTGTATGCGTGCTTGAGTGTTTGTATGCAGGATACAGGGTATGTTGTTGTGTTTGCTTCCTTGTGATAGCGATGATCTGATGCCAACTTTATAGTGCTATCTCACTGAAATGCCATGCCGAAGGCACCCATCACCACAGTATTCCGCCCGGTCACATTATACTGACAACGGGTTAACTAGAGGATTGTATGTTATGATTAGTTTCTATACGTAATTCATGCTAATTATTATTGTGCAATTTAACACTACTTTGTGTGTCTTTTCAGACCGTGTTCATTGCTGAATAAACATATTTTAAAGTAAACGGAACAGAGTCCCATTTATGAAC